GTTGTAGGGGGAACAAAGAAGCGCGCGCGTGTGTGTGTGTCTGTGTTGTAGGGGGAGGGTAGTGGAGATGTAATGGATTTAGTTGTAGGCCATTTTTAGTTAGAAATGGGACATACACATTGTTCTGACTTACAGGCAGTTGCAGTTGTTCAAGGCTATAGATGAAAATTTAGGAATTGTCTGTTTAGTGGTTGGAAGGGTGAGGTTTCTTAAGAATATACTGCCAGTAGAGGACAGAATCTTGAAGAACTCTTTTTAATTAAATAATGAGTTACATGCTTAAGTCAACTGATTTATATTAGGTATGCAGTTATACACTCCTTTCCCCTTTTGAAGCATTAGGTGGAAGTGAAAAAAGCTGAGAGATGGAGACACTGAGTGAGAGGTATAGGATCTTCGCAGTGGCGGTCATTAGGCTGTAGGGTCCGCTGGGATGAAAGGCATTGTTTCTCTGGATGGTGAGGTTGCTGTGATCTTCAGTGGAACAACTTAGTAGGAGCGATGAGGAGGGCAGAGTGTGATGTGTTGACACTTTTACAGAAGGTCAGAAAGCGGAGAAGGGAAATTTCAAGAAGATTGAGACAGTAACTTGAAATCACTTTAGGTGAAAGTTCCATGAAGTGACTTTGCAATTCTTACCATGGTTTATGCCTTGAAAAAGATACTAGTGTGACCAGGTATGGTAGACTTGAGAGAATGGGAAAAAGACCACCTCCTAGTTAAAATAATAACAAAGGGAAAATGCTTTGCATCTATTTATGTGTACTTAAGTTATTCAATTTCTCTGGGTCTTTTTGCATAAATGGAGCTACACGTAATAACCCATTTCATGGCCTGGTTGTGAGGACCAAAGAGTTAATTAACACATGTAAAGATTTTGGAACAGTGCCAGGCCTATACTAAATTGCTAATGAGTAATAGCTATTGTTACTATGTAAGGTTTCAGTATAGTCGTATTGCAGGTACAGTAGTCAGTGCTGATAGCTCCAGGATAGATCACATTCTCGCTACCAGGAAGGGAGCTTTTCTTTATCCTAACTACATGGAAGGCATTTAATATTTTTCAATAAAATGTCATATTCCTTAGTGGAACCTACTTTTCTCTAAAGTTAAAAAATAGAAGTAGCATTCTACTTGGAATAAGTGCAGAAACCTTGCTTCTTAATCCGATCCTTGGAGTGAACTTAAGTGTCCTGAGACACTTGTTGTGGAGTCCAGATCCAGTGGGCCCAGCTCTGCCGTTCTGCAGGAGAAGCCCTAACCTGGAAGTCAGATGGTTCCAGGACCACCGTCCTTGAGACAAAGCCTGAAAAGCTGCAGGCAGTCAGCCCCAGTGTCCTCAGACGAGCTTGAGGGTCGTAACGGAGGGTCTGGTTTGGCTGAAAGGACATTATGTAGTGTAGAACATTACGTGGGCAGGACACTTCTCTTCGTTATTTTTTCTAATAGCTTGGCAAGTGATCGGGTTAGGAGTTCTGTGTCACTATACCAGGTGTGCCCAGTATTAACCAACTTTGTAACTGATTTTCATTTGTATAATTAACTGGTGATGTGGATGTGGATCTCCTAGTGTTGTTCTGAGTGTTACGACGTAAGTAGAGGCCGTGTATTTATTATGTCTTTAAATTGGAAGGGTTTTCTCCCCACCTTCCAGTTTTATTGAGATATAGTTGACATACAGCACTGCATAGTTTAGGGTGTACAGCATAGTGATTTGACATACGCCGTGAAATGATTACCACTGTAAGTTTATGGAAGGGGTTTTTGAACATACACCAAAAAAAGGTGGGTTTTTTGTTTGTTTGTTTGTTTGCTGGAAAACTGGTTGAGGACAGTTGGCTTATTTCCAAATAGTTTAGGAAAATAGGTGATCGCAATAGGGGTTGGAGTTATATGCTTGTGGAGAGTTTGGAGAAACACAAGGTGGTCTTATTATGGTTTGCCTAATGTCTAATTAGAAAGAAGATGTGAAGGTACTGGAATGAAAATTAAAATACATTTGGGGGCTGAAACTGCAAGTAATGAAAATTAGGTCAAAAACAGAAATTATTTATTTTTACAGTAGTCATCCCGTTTATAATGGTAGATGAAATATTGCTTGTTGTTCCAAACTACTTTAGAGAAAGTGTCAATTTGAGAGTAATAGGTGTTTTTTTCATATAAGGGACATCTGTTTGTAAATTTTGAGTGAAGAAGAATGTTTGATACAACTCACTAGCATTTGTTGAGATTGATTCTTTTTTTATTTTTTTTTATTTTTTTATTTTTTTGCGGTACGTGGGCCTCTCACTGCTGTGGCCTCTCCCGTTGCGGAGCACAGGCTCCGGACGCACAGGCTCGGCGACCATGGCTTACGGGCCCAGCCGCTCCGCGGCATGTGAGATCTTCCCGGATCGGGGCACGAACCCGCGTCCCCTACATCGGCAGGCGGACTCCCAACCACTGCGCCACCAGAGAAGCCCTGATTCTTTTTTTAGAGCTCATATGTACTGCATACTTACTGCATAGCAGGCACTGTGCTGAAAACTGCACATACAGTGTGCCAGTTACATTGTAGATTACCTTCATTTTATAGAAACAGTGATTGATTCTGCTTATAACAAGTAGCAGAATTAAGATTCAAGCTCAGGGCTGTCAGACTCCAAAACACATGCTACTTCCATTATACCATAATGAAGTAAACAGAATTATAGAGTCCATATTTCAAAATTTTATAACCTAGTCACTCTTTAGGCGATATTTTACAGTATAATATTGGGGGGAAAATCCTACTTTTAAGTAGTGTTACGAATTTTTATTTAAAAATATTTCAATTATTTTTTAATAATATGCAAAAATTGCTGCTTTCTTCTTTTAAGATGTTTTTTCACGGATGCCACTCGTGAATGGCCTTATCGGACCCAGTCCTCATCTCGCACATAATTCTTTGCCTCCTGGAAGTGGACTGGGAACCTTCCCTGCTGTAGCACAGCCCCCCTACACTGATGCCAGGTATTTAAAAGCCTCCACTTTCTACGGAAGCGTAAATCTTTTTTGTGACGTGAATGGTTGTTGGTCTGCGTGATGGTGCACAGTGTCAGTGTGTTGCACTCATTGTGATCTTTGTGAAAAATCATCATACATTTTAGCTATTTTGTAATAATAGGTTTAATGAAATTGTACTTGACCATAGTACTTAGAAAGTTATTTTATGTTTATGAAGTAAAGTTGTTTATTATTTGCCAGGGATAAAAATCCAGCATTTAATCCAATGGCAAGTGACCCTAACGGCTCTTGGACATCATCAGCTCCCACTATGGAAGGAGAAAATGATACAATGTCGAATGCCCAGAGAAGTACACTCAAGTGGGAGAAAGAGGAGGCCCTGGGGGAAATGGCAACAGTAGCACCAGTTCTCTACACAAATATTAATTTCCCCAACCTAAAGGAAGAATTCCCAGGTAAGTCATGGATACACCACTGCTTTACATGTGACCAGCTTTCCCACACGTCACAGGCTTTTTTGGTTCTTGTCTCACTAAAGCAGAGAGCCTGTGTATCACCATTAATTTTTATCTAGTGTGACTCTGCACAATGTGAAGATTCCCTAGATATCTAGAAACATCTTGCATTTTCTTAGTCCTAAGCCCTGTACCGATTTGCATATTTCCCAGAAGTTAATTTCAATTAATGAAGTGATTCCAGCTCCTAGCAGTCTTTTTAAATACATGGAAGTCAGTGTTGTGTTATGTGTAATTGTACAAGAAAATTCCTAGAATAAAAAGCTTATCATTTAATCAGAAGTATTAAATTAGGCTAAATCAGACTCCATTCTAAGTATTGTTCACATTGAAACTGACTCAGGATTATTTCCCCTTCTTCCCAACTGTCTAGCCCATTTGAAAAAAGCAGATGGTACAGTGGTACCATTTTTGAAAATTCTCATTAGCAAGAGGATGAAACATTTGGATTAATGTCACTTACAGAATATTTGTAAGCAAATGCTCATTTAGTATCTTGAGTTCATGTTGCAAGACAAACTAGAATTTGAAAAGGTCACTTAAGCTTTGTCTTGCAATAGTTTCCCAGCTGTCATATAGCTCTTTTAAATTACTAGAGGAGTACTTAAAGGTGGATTTTTTGTGGATGACCCCTGTCTTTTTAGGTTTGGCCTTTTTGGTTTGGCCACCTTGTAGTACTTTATTTATTATTCATAGAAGTAAATGCTACCTTATCTAACAAGAAAAGTCAGTGGTTTAATGCAGGGCTGTCTGTTAAAGCAGTATACACATTCTTCAAGGGTTTTTTTTGTTTGTTTGTTTTTTTTAACCGCACTTTTATTTGCTACTTAGAGATGAGTATATCTGGTTCTATTAAGTCACTTAGTGTCAGTGTAAAAATTGTCCTTAGATTGGAGCTGTAGGTTTCCTTTTTTTTAAAGTAATTTTCTTTAATAGATGTACTGTGTGATTCTAGAACCTCATGAAATACCATGTTAAGGCTGTTGGTCTGCAGCTGATTTCCATTTTCAGTGGCTGTTTCGAAGCTTTCTGTTTATAAATATGGACAAAAGCATTTCTACATTTATTGCTAACTGTTGATCTCACCCACATTTCATTTTGTGTACTGTCCTGACACTGAGTTTCATAGAAGTGGCTTGAAATCATTGCTTTTCCCTATCTTTGTTGTGCACAAGTGCTGATGAGATGCTTATTTTTAATAATGATTACTTCCTTTTGGTCAACTTGATAGAATTCTCTTGAGTACAGATGTTTTCCAAAACTTTTAGCTTTGGTCCTGGTAGCATCTTACATGGTTGAGGGAATTTATTATGTTTGGCTTAACTTTATCTTGGCTGCTTAGAACTTTGATTTAAAAACTTCCCAACTCCACAGGTGAGATTGTTAATGAGGCAGCACTCCATTCAGAAATATGTTTGGTCTGCTGTGTGCCAGGAACTTTATAGTATACAAAGAACTAAATACAGGACTATCATTTATGAAAATATGGGCAGAATAAGTTTAACTGTTAGCAGTTTATCAACCTTTTGATTAAGATGCATCATTACCGTGGTTCTGTGAATGTGTCTACTGTGTTCTTTTGTTGCAGACTGGACTACTAGAGTGAAGCAAATTGCCAAGCTGTGGAGAAAAGCAAGCTCACAGGAAAGAGCACCATACGTGGTATTTAAAAAAACTCACATGTATCATGCCTTCAGACACAATACGTGAATCTTATTATTATCGTCTTAGGTTCATAAAAAGATTTCCCATTCCAAAAAACATATGTTAAATACTTGTACAACTAATAAACAGCTTTGCTTTATAGTGTTTTCCTAACTCATGATGTCTTAATATAGAGGGTGACATTTTCATAAGCTGGTTAATAGAACCAGTATGTTGAAGATTGAAATCACTCATCCTAGGAGCGTGTTTAACTCATTTCACTTTTAAATTGTTTTATCTCTTCGAAAGAGTACTACATTTTGCAGCCACATTAATGTGCCTCAGTTTCTTCCACAATAAGCTCTTTTTGTATTAGGTTTAGTAGAGAATTTTGAAAGAGGTATACCTGGACACCTTTAAGGAGCTTTTGAAACATGGACTTGGCCAGGAATTATTAGGGTATTTTATAAGATTCACAGTTCAGATAGTGACTTATTTTCTCCCAAAGAGCCAAATTAAGATTGTCAACTGGATCCAAATCCTTGCTTTCATTTGAAAGCATATAATATCTGCATTACCGTTTTGAAAAATACATGCACTTATTTTCTACTTTGATCTTCAGCAGGCATACTGTCAGTGATAATGACTGCTTGGATCAAGCAGAAAATTTTGGTGGGGGGATGTGTTGATGATGCTTTGCTTTGTTTTACCTTGACTGGCAGAGGTAATGGCAGGATATTTTTAATCTTTCTCAATGATTTTTCTTTTTTTAACGTTAAGCTTCAGGTTCCAGATTTTAGATTTGGAGCATTGATTTGGTATTTTCCTTTTCTCTAAATTGAGAGAGATATTAATCGTTCCATTTTTGAAGAGTCTGTTACAAAAATTAGGATTGAAAATATTAGATTACACCTAGGTTCTCTAGACTGGTTCAAATAGAGAGATGGAAATATGTCTTCAGTTGAAACATGCCTTATAAAAGGGAAAAGTGGGGTAGTGTCGAGATCTTTTCACACAAGAGGCTGTAAGTTCTCAAGATTAATATTTCAACTGTTTTCAACTATTTAACCCAACTTTTTCTTGCTTTTGTATGATAAAATTTGCCATAGTTTTATTTAATTTTAACACATACTGGGAGATAATTTTCTTCTCCTTTTTTCAAAGCAAAAAGCCAGAGATAACAGAGCTGCTTTACGCATTAATAAAGTACAGATGTCAAATGATTCCATGAAAAGGCAGCAACAGCA